TGTGTCTTACAGTCTTGCTCAGCAGAAGCTTGTTGGGGCCCCCCACAGATTTCTGGTTTTCCTTCCCAGAGCAGCAGCAAGCAAACGCGTATCGCTTTCCACCCAAAGCCCTTGGAGCGTTCGGCAAAGGCTCTGCCCAAAGGCAGACTCAGGCTCGCCCCAGGGCAGCAGGAGGCAGCGGCAGGTGCCATGCCGTGCCGTGCCATGCCGTGCCGTGCCGTGCCCTGCCCGCATTCCCTACGGCCCCGCTCGCACGGACACAGGTAGCCTGACAAACCATCCCACACCGATCTCTGCCAGCTTATCTGCCCCGTACGACTCAGCCCACTTGTGGACGGGGACCAAGTGCCCAGACCCAGCTGTGGACTCGGGATGCGACCCAGCCGGGGGAGCCAAGCCAGGAATGAAGCACGCTGCCCGCGCGGGCTCGTGGCAACCTACACGCGGCTGCGGGGGCTCACGGCACCAGTGCTTTTACAGACACAGAGGGCAGCCAAAATTAATCACCAGCAATGCCAAAATTGTCTGTTACGGCTCTGAAGACCACTAAGCTGCTAGGCTGCACTGATACACACTGTACTGAAACGCTGGTGTTCCGGGGTGAGCCGAAAGATGGACAGACGTTGATGTACACCCGGATGAGCTGACAGGAAAGCAGCAGCCCTGGGCAGCCGCTATCATCTCAGGTTTTGAGTCTTACTGAAACTAAGAGACAATTTCTCACAGCCAGGACGCAGCACGGGGCTCTTGTCTTACCAAAGTGCCCCGACGTGTTGCCCATCAGGCAAAACACAGCCAGCGTGCCGTCCTCTCCTGAAGTACAGACGTGTTCAACCCACCAACGGCCTCTCCTACAGCCACCACAGCTTTCCGACCGAAATACCGGTCACCTCCGCAGACTGCCTGCCTCAAAGGCTGGAGCAGAAGTGCCAAACACCGGAGTGCCACTGCTCCAGGCAGCTGTCAGAGGGAGCAGAAGTGCCGCCACCCCGTGAGCTGCAGCAGGGTCCCAGCCCACCAGCGCACCCAGCAGCCGATGCCCCTGGGAACACAGCCCAGCAGAGCTTGGGTTTCCCAGTTAAAGGGAGATGCTGGCATGGATGAAGACCCCAGCATGTTGGCTCTATTTTAAAATTGGCTTAGGAAAATAAAAGGAAAAGCAAACCAGAAGAGCCACCGATAATCTCTCAGCCAGGAATCAGCACTAGCACTGAATATGGGGAGGAAAAAGCAAATGCTAAATGTCTAAAGAGAACAGAAAATTCCTCCTCCCAGCTCTGTGTCAAGTCCTCACGCAGCCCCTCCGGCTTGGCCGAGGCTGACAAATCACCCCAGGAACTACCAAGTCATTCGAGGTCATTTGCCACAGACTCACACTGGGGCATGCCAGGCCAGAGCAGCTCCTCCCAGGGCAGGCACAGGAGCCCCTTGCCCAGGGGCAGCCCCCTTCCTGCGCCGCCCGGAGAGCAGCAAGCCTCAGGAATCTCCTACAGGACGGGCACTCTGCTCCCCAGCACGGCAGAGCCCTAAAGCCGGTATCGCCGGCCTCGCTCGTTAGCCGTTCCAGCGCCAACCCGCTTTCCCCAGTGCCCTCCGGAGCGTTTCCTGACAGGGCTTTCGGAGGAGCTGTGTGCCCCGGCCGTCCTGCCCCCGCTCAGCAAGGCACCTCTGCAAGCATCGCCCCGGGCCATTGCAGGGGTACAGCTCCGTGTCACCAGCTGGGGCTTCCACCTCCTCGGATGAAAGTTCAAGTGACAAGGGCTCGGTAATTGCTGTTTCACTCTCAAATACCTACATGCCTCTAGCTCAGCTTTCATTAGTTTTAACTCCAACAAATAGGGGCAATTTAAATACAAACAAGCAAAAATATTTAAAGCCAGTCGGTGTCTATTGGCTGAGGCATTTGCTGTGCAAAAGCTTCAGTTTTGGTTGCTAGGGGTATGTCGTGCACAGGACTGCTAGTAACTGGACTTCACTCTCTTCAAGTCCTTCTGTTGTGTTTTGCCACGAATTCGGGGTGCCACGAGGGGTGAACAAAGCTTGGAGGAGCGCAGTCATGCGCTGCTGCAGCAGCTGCTCAGGTCCACCTCCAGCAAACCCCTGCACCAGGCTGCCATACAGCACCCCCACACGTGGGTGTGCATCCCCAAGCTCGGCGCATCCCGCACGAGCCCCATCTCTCTTCCCTCCACAGGCCTCGGGTCCGGGGGCAGAGGACGTGGCTACACATTTCCCACAGTCCCACCGTCACCGCGGGGAACCTGCACCCTACGGGGCTACAGCTCTTCAGCTCCCAGGAGCTGGGCTTAGGGCCAAGAAGGGACGAAGAACCACGCAAGCACCACGAACAAATCAGAACCGCAGGGAGAGATTGAAAACGACGGCAAAGGATTACCTGTTCATCCCTGGAAGGTTGCCCCAGAAGTAGCGTGCTCGGTGGGCAGCTGATATCTTGATGGCATCGATCATAACGGGGTTACACTGAAGGCCAGGAGAGGGGGAAAAACACAAGTTAGAGGCGGTGTGGGCTCAGTCCTTTCTTGCATGGGAAGCCTTCTCCACTGCCCTGCAGGGCCTTGAGCAAACCCTCCAAAGGATGTAGCCCCAACAAACCCTTGTTCCACACCAGAGCACGGTCTGGCCGGCCCCGCGGGCTCCCACAGCACAGCCATGGCCAGCAGCTGAGGAAAACCACAGCGTGCTTCAGTGCCGATTTCTCTGGGGCAGGATCAGGACCATCAGCCTCTGATGAGGCTTTTACACACAGGGGGGGTCCCAGCTGACCCACAGCCCGTCTTGGCTACCGCAGCGTTCAAAATCCTTTCCAGCCCCTGACCTCCCTCTCCCTAGAAATAACAGGCATTGCTCTGAACAGATCCCTTCTGCCAGGCTGGCAAAAACCCTCTCCCAGAGAACTAGTGCTCGGGGTTAACCTGCCGACAGCCAGAGGGGATCCAGAGCCAAGATGAAAAACTGGATTCCTGGCATCTGCATGAGGGGTTTTCCAGCAGCGGGGCCGCACGAAACCACAGCCAGATCCTCGCAGCCTCAGCACACCCTGCACAGCCCAGCAAGTGCCTCCTGCTCCAACGCCTTTCCCGAAGCTGGCGGCAATCCCTACCTCCAGAAACCGAGAAATGTCCCTCTTGTCGTTGACCCTCATGGCCACCATGTTCTCGAACATCCAGAAGAAGGGACGCTCCTCTCCCGCCTTGGGACGGGCGTAGTTGAGCAGGTGGTAAAACTCAAAGAACAGCCTCCCGGTTCCTTCTGCAAGGGAGAAAGCCGGAGCGGCAGGTTGGGAGCAGCTGCGGCACGGGGGGCGTGGGTCTGGGCGACCTGGATGCCCTCCCCACCACGACTGGCCTGGAGACAGCCTGTGCTTTGCCGGTGCCACCCCACGGATTGCAGCTCAGAGGGGAGCCACCACCAACGCAGACAGGGGCTGAACCACTTCCCTGGAGTTTTTAAGGTGGCTCCGCACCCCAGGAACACCCTGGGGGCACCCAGCCCTGCAGAGGCAACGCAGCCTTACCATACAGCCCCTTCCTGGCCGGACTGACAAGGGAGAGGTCGTTACAGGGGCTTCCACCGATCACCAGGTCAAAAGGTCCCCACTCCTCGATCTAGAGCGAGCAGACAGGCCCAGTTAGGAGACCCCGTGCAAGCGGGTCTCTCCTCCCCGGCAAGCCCGTCCCAGGGCTGGTGGGGTGAGACCACCCCACGTGGCGCCGCGTTCCCCAGCCCTCCCGCTGAAGCGGCGCTCACGTTTCTCTTGGTTATGTTCCTGACGTCGTGCACGTAGGTGATGTTGCCCTCGTGCCGCATGGTGCCCACGGCAATGGGGTCTTCGCAGATCTCCGAGGCGATGTACTTCTCCACTTGGATGCCCAAGTCCTTCAGCACCAGGTACCCTGCAAGGGACAGAGGTCTGAGGCTGCACCGCTCTCTCTAGTCTCCCAATCTCCTTCGTCAGCACACAGGCTCGGTGTGGCCGCTCTCGCGTGTCCTCGGGGGGTGCGGTCACACAGGACTTCTGGGTGAGCGAACGGTTTTTCACGACCCGTTCCTCCAGGCAGGTTTGCTCCCAGAAAGCGCAACTCCAGAGCTGAGTGAGCCCAGTCAAATCAGTTGCCTTCTGGCACTTCTTCACCAGCAGCCAGGCTACCAGCACTCCCTACCAGCACTACCAGCTCTCACTTCTCAGTGAAACCAGCCACCCCAGACGGCACTCGGTACAGGAGGAACCTCTGGGAGCAAAATTCCCATGCCCTCCCCCTCCATCCCTCCCTCCTCCCCAGCCCTCTCCAGCAGGAAGGGGAGCCCCTGCCCCTCATCCCCTTCTGATGGGGATCCCCCTGCCCCTCATCCCTTTCTCCCCACCAAGCTTTCAGAGACAGGTTTGAGGGCATGAAACTATTCATCCCTCACATCCAGAGCTGCAGATACCACCAGGACAGTGCTCCTCCAGTGCCTCACCTGTTGCTATGCCATCGAATAAAGAGAGCACTCGAATAGGTCTCCTGTTGGCTGGTGGGACCGTTGGGTAGATTTTGGGCGCAGCCTGCAACGAGAGGATAGCAATGATGCCCCAGCTCTGGGCAGTGCGGCGATGCTCCAGGAGGCCAAACCTGGGCTCTACAGGCATCACCTCCACCTTCAGGGAAGCATCCGTGGGGCCGTGAGCCCAGCACCCTTGGAGAAGGTGGATGAGTGAGACAAAGGCAGAGGGCCAAGGAATTTTGAGCCATTCGCCCTGCCCCTGCAGCCCTCTCCCACCAAAGCCCAGCCCGCTGGGCTCGCCTGCCCACAGCCCTTACGTATTCCTGTCCCTTGTCACTGGTGAAGAAGTCCTGCAGGCGGGTGTTCCAGTCCTGCCGGCGCTGCAGCACCCCGTAGCTCCTCTGGGGCTGGCACATGTAGCAGTTCCAGGGCTCCTGCTCCTTTGCCTTGGCCGATGTCCCTCGCCCCACCAGCACCTCCAGACACTCCACACAGAAACACCTGCCCAAACCACACCAACCTCATGCCTGTCACATCTCTGGGTCCCCCCAGCCTCTCCAGGAGCCTCCCCTGCCACGCACCGCATCCCTCACCCTGCTTTGCAGGATGTTTTTCCCGGCAGTACTCTGGTTTTTAGGGCTTCTAACACAAACTGGCTACCCAGGCATGGGTAAAGCTCCTGCCAGCCTCCCCAGGGCTTATTCAGGTGAAGCCTGGCTCAGCAGGGACGGGTCGGCTGTGCTGGGATGTGCCGGCAGAGCATCCCCGGGAGCAACGCTGGGAGCGCAGCCCAAGGAGCAGAGACGGGGACGCGCGGGGCCCACCTGCAGCAGCTGGCGTTGCTGCAGAGCAGCAGCTCCTT